AAGCTCTCCCCCTGACTCACTCCAGCAACAGCGAGGCGGTGGGTCAAGAGATTGTAATTGACTGTGTCAAATGCTGCTGTGAGATCCAATAACACGAGCAGCGCCGACCCGCCTTTGTCAAGCTGGCATCAAAAAACAGTTGCATCTGTCAAGTAGAAAATTTAGGTACTGTTTATGTAGGGAGGCAAATTTAACTAATTTACGGAGCCATAAAAATCTCCAGCAAGCATGCAAAGAATGAGGAAGTACTTCATCAGTGTCACAAATGGCCGGTGAAGTGACAGCTTCCCTGGTGGCCAGAATCCCCTCATGAAAAAGCTGGAATGTTAAATAGCCTCTGTGTTTCAGTAAGTGAATGAAGGTACTTCAAGTCCCATCATCCATGGTCCACCCTCCTCCAAACTGCAGCAGTTGTGTGTCTATGGCATGGAATGTTTGCCATGTATATGTACATTGTAATCTGCCCTGAGTCCCCTGCGAGGTGAGAAGGGCGAAATATAAATACTGAAAATAAATAAATAAACAAACAAAGTGAAAAATCTGTTAGTGGTAAAAGAGACTCACAGGACCAGGAACCTGTTGTTCGGGATTCCACTGCTCCTCATTCCCAGGCAACAGAGAGGGCAGATTTTGGTTGCCTTATGAAATGGCCGTTGACTGAAAGGGAGTTGTCTTGTGAAGTCTGATGAGACTTGAGAACGGAAGGAGCGAAAGATAGGTTAATTAGACATTCTGAGAGAATCCTCAAGAAGTCCTTGAGACCCAGGTGCGTTCGTCACGATCTCATGGCCTCTTGGACAGGCTTAAATGAAGTGGTGTTTACCCTGTGTCTCTCAGAGGAGCCAACATTGTTTAAGATGGTGTTCCTGTTTCGGCTCTCCAGTTCATGATTCAAGTCTCCTGTGTTTCCCTATGTTCCTGAAAGAGTTTTGCCTTGGAAAAAGTTCCTGTTTTTATGCTTATGGAGTTATGCCTATGATCTTGACTTTCTTGATTTCATATGCCTTGCTTTTTTTGGACTATTCAACTCTTGTATATATGGACTATTGCTATTTTATAGATCCTTTTCTACTGCTTTTTGGGAAATGCCCAGGCATGCAGACATGCTGGGAATGATTGGAGGAAAGTCTATCGACAACAGGCTCCTTAGCATGAAACAAGAGCACCTCCCCATGGCTGGAGTTGAGCATTGCCTCCAGATGCCAGAGATGGAAAAGAGAAGGCCTTTACCTCTGCATGTCTGTGTATAGTATGTTGTTGTTTGCTGTGTTAAAAGGCATTGAATGTTTGACTTATGTATGTAAACTGTAATCCGCTCTGAGTCCTCCAGGGAGATAAAGCAGAATATAAATAAATACCAGGCAATATTCTGGAAAAGATGGTCAAGGAAGTGGTCTGCAAACACTTAGAAACCAATGCGGTCATCGCTAATAGTCAACATGGATTGATCAAAAACAAGTCATGCCAGACTAATCTGATCTCTTTTTTCGATAGAGTTACAAGCTGGGTAGATGCGGGGAATGCCGTGGATGTAGCGTACCTGGATTTCAGCAAGGCCTTCTTTGACAAGGTCCCCCATGACCTTCTGGCAAGGAAACTAGTCCAATGTGGGCTAGGCAAAACTACGGTGAGGTGGATCTGGAATTGGTTAAATGGACGAACCCAGAGGGTGATTCTCCCCAAGGCTTCCTCTTCATCCTGGAAAGAAGTGATGAGTGGAGTGCCACAAGCAGGGTTCCGTCCTGGGCCCGGTCCTGCTCAGGATCTTCATTCATGGCTTAGATGAAGGGCTAGAATGCAGGATCATCAAGTTTGCAGACGACACCAAATTGGGAGGGAGGGCCAAGACTCCAGAGGACAGGAGAGGATTCAAAACGATCTTGACAGATTAGAGAGATGATGGGCCAAAACTCACAAAATGAAGTTCAACAGTGACAAATGCAAGAGACTCCACTTAGGCAGGAAAAACGAAATGCAAAGAAACAGAATGGGGGCAATGCCCGGCTCGAGAGCAGGGTGTGTGAAAAAGATCTTGGAGTCCTAGTGGACAACAAATTAAACATGAGCCAGGAATGTGATGTGGCGGCAAAAAAGCCAATGGGATTTTGGCCTGCATCAAGAGGAGCCTAGTGTCTAGATCTAGGGAAGTCCTGCTCCCCATGCTCTATTCCCTTGGTTAGACCACACCTGGAATATTGTGTCCAATTCTGGGCACCACAATTCAAGAGAGATATTGACAAGCTGGAATGTGTCCAGAGGAGGGTGACTAAAATGATCAAGGGTCGGGAGAACAAGCCCTATGAGGAGCGGCTTAAGGAGCTGGGCATGTTTAGCCTGAAGAAGAGAAGGCTGAGAGGAGACATGATAGCCATGTATAAATATGTGAGAGGAAGCCACAGGGAGGAGGGAGCAAGATTGTTTTCTGCTTCCCTGGAGACTAGGACGCGGAACAATGGCTTCAAACTACAAGAGAGGAGATTCCATCTGAACATGCGGAAGAACTTCCTGACTGTGAGAGCCGTTCAGCAGTGGAACTCTCTGCCCCGGAGTGTGGTGGAGGCTCCTTCTTTGGAAGCTTTTAAACAGAGGCTGGATGGCCATCTGTCAGGGGTGATTTGAATGCAATATTCCTGCTTCTTGGCAGAATGCGGTTGGACTGGATGATGGCCCAGGAGGTCTCTTCCAACTCTAGGATTCTAGGATTCTATGATTCTATATTATTATTGTATTACTAGCTGTACCTGCCACGTGTTGCTGTGGCCAGCCTTCTCTCCCTCTTTCTCCCATTCTTTCTTTCTCTCCTTCCTTCCTTCTCTACCTCTTTCCTTCCTTCCCCTCCTTTTTTCTTTCTTTCTTTTCTTCCTTCTCCACCTATTCTTGAACTGTAACTCCCAGCAGTCCTCCTGATTGATATATCTACCTACTATCTATCTCTATTTAATCTATCTATCTTATCTATCTGGAGGCTTGCTGGGAGTTGTTTAAGTCCCTTCTGCTGTGTTTTTCAGTGTTTTTATGAGTGAAGGACATCCATTGGACTGTTAGGTGTCTTGTGTCCAAATTTGGTGTCAATTCCCCCAGTGGTTTTTGAGTTCTGTTAATCCCACAAACGAACATTACATTTTTATTTATATAGATATCGATATGCATTCAGTTGCCATTCAAGACAAGGGTCGAGTCGCACCATGCATGCACCGGCGGAGGTTAGCATTGCACATCTCTAAGGCAGAATCATGGCCACAGTGGATATCAAAATATTGTTGATCTCCTAAATCTCAGAAACTGTGAGCTGGGATGTCTGTTTATGTGTGCGTTTTGTTTCAATACATAATAATGAAATTAAAGGATGTCATGGCACCAAGCAACCACTCGGTCGACCCCTGCAAACCAGCCAGGCGAAATTAAAACAACAGCCATCATCATTTCATGAGAAATCGCTTTAATCTTGTTTAGGAAAGGCATCCGTTACTCAAAGGGTGAGTCACAGTGTAAGTTCTCCAGAGGAGTCCTTGCCTCCTGAGCAAAGCCTCGCTCAAGGCTTAGCAAAAGAACAACAAGAGGAGGGCCCGTATCTGCCCAAAGGCTACTAGGGTCCTTCCCGTATCCAAAAACAGACAGAGGCCCTTTCAGAATCAGAAATCTGATTTAGGAGCTGGCAGGAAAGAAGCATGGATATAAGTCGGCCTCAATGTTGGTTGATACCTGCAATAGCTTTGCAAAGATTGTGCCTCTCCTCCCAGGCTCCTGGGGGCATCGCCTTCAACGCTGAAGGCCCCCAAAAGGTCTTCAGCCAAAGTATTAATCTGTCTCTACTCGAAATACCATTCTGTAAAGGGCACCTTTTTCACAGTGCAGAACTGGATTGTCTTTGGTGGAGAGGAAGAGTCTCCTACGAGAGTTGCTTGGACAACGGGGTCCTTTGGGGTTGCAATAGGGACCTCCACTGAGATCAAGAGCAAAAGAATATCATTTTCATCTGGAAAAGCTCTTTAAAATAGTAGTGATGATGATAGTGATTTTTTTAAATGCTTGGGCATGCTTTCTTGAGTCCCTCATACCAAAACAATATTATATCCATCAGAATAGTAGAGGAGTTGACCACCAAGGAGCCCAAAGCTGGTGAGGTATGTGTATGCATGTCGCCAAGGGCCTTCAAGCCAATTCCAACTAATGAGGACTATCTTTTTGTGGGTTCAGTTTGCACGATCTAGACGTTGAATGGATGTGATGGCATGGTGTTTTCCCCAGTGTTGATGATACAATGGCACATCATGCCATCAGCATTGTAGAGGGATTGACCACCAAGGAGCCTCAAGCTAGTGAGGTGTGTGTGTGCATGTCATCATGGGCCTTCAAGCCAACTCCAAGTAATGACGACTTTCTTTTTATGGGTTCAGTTTGCATGATCTCGATATTGAATAGGTGCAATTGTATGGTGTTTGCCCCAGTGTTGATGATCCAATGGCACATCCAGAATGGTAGAGGGGTTGACCACCAAGGAGCCTAAAGCTGGTGAGGTGTGTATATGCATGTCGCCTCTTTTTATGGGTTCGGTTTCCACGATCTCAACGTTGAATGGGTCCAATTGTATGGTGTTTGCCTCAGTGTTAATGATACAATAGCACATTCAGCCATCAGAATGGTAAAGGGGTTGACAGCCACGGAGCCTAAAGCTGGTGAGGTGTGTGTATGCATGTCGCCATGGGCCTTCAAGCCAACTCCAAGTAATGACTACTTTCTTTTTATGGGTTCAGTTTGCACAATCTGGACATTGAATGGATGCAATTGTACGGTGTTTGCCCCGGTGTTGATGATACAATGGCACATCAAGCCATCAGAGTGGTAGAGGGATTGACCATCAAGGAACCCAAAGCTGGTGAGGTGTATGTATGCATGTCGCCATGGGCCTTCAAGTCAACTCCAACTTATGGCGATCCTTTTTTGTGGGTTCGGTTTGTATGAACTGCACGTTGAACAGATGCAAGAGTACGGTGTCTGCCTCAGCTGCCTGCGATGATGGGCTGGACGACGGAGATGTCCGTCCGGGCCGAGTGTCCCTCAGAGCCCGGCCCTGTCTGGACCGAGGGGGGTTCTGGCTTGCAGCCTTCTTCCCAGGCCTGGCGGAAGGGGGGCGGAAGGGCTTGCAAAGCGTGGCTCCGGCCGGGGTCCTTCTTCCCACAGACCCTCAGCAGGGACTTGAGCTCCGAGCGGAAGCTGTCATTGAGCCAGCAATAGATGAAGGGGTTGTAGCAGGTGCTGCTCATGGCGAACCAGTGGCAGGCGAAGTAGAGGCCGTTGTTGCTGCGGATGGCGTTGCTGGAGAGCAGGACCAGGTAGCAGTTGAGCGGGAACCAGCACACGGCGAAGACCGCCACCACCACCACCAACATCTTGAGGGTCTTCTTCTTCTTGCGCCGGTGGGCGTAGTACTGCTCCAGGGTCACGTCCCCGATGGCGTTGCGCTTCCACAGCTTCTTGGCCACCGTGGCGTAGGTGGCGGAGATGACCAGCAAGGGCAGCAGGTAGAGCAGCACGAAGGTGGCCAGGTCCAGGTACTTCCAGTAGAGGTCCATGGGCCGCGGGAAGCTGGGCAGGCACACAATGCGGTTGGTGCGGTTCCTGCGGCACAGAAAAGGGAAGCGAAGCCAAAAGAGATCAATGCAGGAAAGTCTCCCTCGCTTAGCCCACTTCCTCTCTATGGCAATATCGGTGTCCTGTCAGAAGGCCAACATACTACAACTCATGTAGCCATGCCCAGGCATTGCTTTGGAAGCAGATCACACTATGTAACACGGTTTTGTTCCTGGGTTATCAATGTCATTTCACAATTGGTTCTGTCATAAAAACATGGGGAAAGTTTATTAAAGTGCACAAACTTTGTTTTGCAGGAGGGACATCCTGCTCTAGCACCCCTATGATGCACTTTTCTCCATCCTAAATTGAATGTCTACCCCACTGTTTATTCTTTTTGGGTTCCTCTTAATGACATATTTTCTTTCCTACTTCATGCAGGGTTTTATCATTTTACCTCCTCCATTTGGCCTGCCCATTTAATATTGTATTAATTTGTTTTATTTATCCTATTTTGCTATTGTACGTATTTTATTTTGATGTAATTTTTTGTTGTCTGCATTCTGTATTTTATATTGTTGTGTTGTATCTTTGGGCTTGGCCTCATGTTAGTGCCCCGAGTCCTCTTTGGGGAGGTGGTGGCGGGGTATAAATAAAGTTTATTATTATTTATTATTATAGCACATTTTGCTCTAGTTTTCCAATGAATATCTCATTGAGTCTCAACCCATTCAACCTAGTTTGCAGCAGCCACAAAAGTGAAGTTTCCAGAGTAGAACAACAACTTTCACAGAATCAGAAAGAATCACATAACTACTGATTTTTGTGGATTTTTAAAAGTTTATACAAAAATATTTATCCCCCCCCCACTTTAAAAAGCCACAACAGCAATCCCCTTGAATGTCTGTCTAACAGTGTGTCTATATGACACACAATTAAATAATAATAATAATAATAATAATAATAATAATAATAATAATAATAATCTTTATTTATGTATTGTCGAAGGCTTTCATGGCTGGAATCACTAGGTTCTTGTGGGTTTTTTCGGGCTATAGAGCCATGTTCTAGAGGCATTTCTCCTGACATTTCGCCTGCATCTATGGCAAGCATCCTCAGAGGTAGTTGACGTGATCCTAATCTTTGAAAGAGGTGAATGCTGGGCAAAGAAAAGGGCAGCAGGAAAAGAGGAAGAGCGTGTTTCAAGTGGATTGAGTCCTTCAACAGAGCCATGGCTTCCCTGAGTTTGCAAGACTCCAATTTGACATATCTGACTTGAGCTTGAACAACTCCAGTTTGAAAGGCCTAAGTGTGAAAGCTCTGAGTGTGAAAGACTCTGGTTTGCAAGGTCTGAGTGTGAAAGACTTGAGCTTGAACAGTTTGAAATATCTGAGTTTGAGAGACCTGAGATTGAAAGTCCTGAGATAGAAAGACCTGAGTGTGAAAGACCTGAGTTTGCAAGACCTGCATTTGCAAGACTTGAGTTTGCAAGACCTAACTTTGAAAGACCTGATGGCTTTGCTCGGCAAATTAAACTGTTGTGTTTTAAAATCTCATAATCTCTAGTGTCTGATTGGAATAGATACCAGGGCAGGCATGGGCAAACTTTGGCCTTAACGGCTGTTAGGAATTGTGGGAGTTGAAGTCCAAAACACCTGGAGGGCCAAAGTTTGCCAATGGTGGGACTCAACAACCTGAATTTGCAAGACCTGAGTTTGCAAGACTCTAGTTTGCAAGACCAGGGCATTTGGAGGTCTCTCGCTTTTTAGGTTGCTATATGTGGAAGCTAACTTGACACCAAATCACAAGGGTTGGGGAGAAGGCTATAAGGATGTGGCTCCTGGTGAGATGTTTCACCAGGAGCTAAAACATCTTAATGGAGGGCATCAGACTTTGGACATGTCACAAGGGGAAATTAGTTGATAGATGGTTCCCCAGCCTCCATTTGTGGGTCAGGATTCCTAACTCTTCCAACTCTTTATTTATACCTTGTATCTCCCCAACGGGGACTCAGGGCGGCTCACATGAGGTCAAGCCCGATAATACATTACAGCAAAATAAATACAGAACAACACAAAATAACATCACAATAAAATAAGTAAAACATAAAAGTAAAATAAAATAGTGCAAAATAACAAACTAAAAAATTAAACACAAATGGCAGGCTCAATGTACGACATAGAATAGTAAAACTCTGGATGAGATAAGGTATATTTCTAAGGAAGGAGCTCGTAGGGAACAGAGCAGTGGAGACGGGCCTTCAGAAAGATGGGGGAGAAATGCAATATGAGGACAACGTTATGGGAGAAACAACAGAAAAGAAGTATATGATCACTCTCCAAAGGCGCTCTCCAGTTAACCACATAAAATCAACTTAGCACAGATTTATACTATTACTTACTTACTTTAGTCCTCTTTGCAGATTGAATCATTTTATTTATTATTATTGGGCTCACTCTAAACAATGAGAAGTGGCAATAATTTTGCACAGCCCTAGTAGGAATGCTTCAGCAGCAGCAGGTGAGACTAGATGGCTACTAGAGTCCCCTGTAAGTCTGAAGAGTGTAGGAAATGTAATTGGTTGCTGACACGCCCCCATTGTTTGCCGTAGGATTGGAGTTTGCACGCATTTGCCATTCATGCAAAGGATGCCCTTTCCAAACACAGGGGTCTTTCTCTTACCCGGAAGGGATGCGCATCAGCTTCTGGTAAATGGCGTGGGGCAGAGAGAAGCAGCTGGCTAGCACCCAGATGAGGATGATGCAGACCCCTCCCTTCACCAGGGACATCCGGGGCTTCAACGGGTGCATGATCACCTACAGAGAAAGAGAGTTGGAAGAGTTAGGAATCCTGACCCACAAATGGAGGCTGGTGAACCATCTATCAACTAATTTCACCTTGTAACATGTCCAAAGTTTGATGCCCTCCTGTGACGATGTGTAAGTTTTATTTCTTTGGTTATGTGTAGTTTGGACAGTGGTTTAGGGATGGTAAGTATGGGAGATTATGTTTTGTGGGAGATGGTGGCTTGGCGTTAGCTGAGTTGCCATAGCAACAGGGGCGGAGCCAACTGCCTCTTCAGGAGGCAGCTGTTTTAAAAAGTCAGTCAGTACGCCGGTGAGCTACTGAGAGGACTGAGTCTCTGGGTGGAGATTCAGGGAATGTGTCTGTAGCCGGTGTGCTATAGGAAAGACTGAATCTCAGGGTGGGGATTCAGGGAATCAATTGGTGACCAAAGTAGTTGCAGAGAAGGACCCGGTAGTGAGAGAGCTACAGGGGGTTGTTGATTCTAAATTAAGAATCAAGGTTTGGCTGGGTTTAAGCCTGCTGTGCCTGCTGTGAAACATTTTGAAGTCTGTGCCTGAGATTACTCATGAAACCTTTCCAATGTAACCATCAAGATTTGTGCCTCTTTTGAAGAAACAGTTAAACATGTTATACTCCTGTTAAAATAAACTTGTTACTGTTTTCCTCAAGCCTTGCCTGATACAGTTTCTCCTAAGTTGAACAGCCTGCAATAGTAAAGTCAGCCAGGAACAGTAAACGCTACGCTATCCACTGAACAAAGCCTTCTGTAATTCACAGTCCCTTTATAAGATAGCTCCTAAGTTGATATTGAGCGTTGCCTGGCTTCCCTCATAGATTAGGTGGCAGTGGGTGTTTTACCACTCGCACCTTCACATTTGGTGGCATTCGGTGGCATTAAAACCGTTGTCTTTACACCTCCATTAAGATGTTTTAGCTCCTGGTGAAACATCTCACCAGGAGCCACATCCTTATAACCTTCTCCCCCACTCTTATGATTTGGTGTCAAGTTAGCTTCCACTCGTAGCAACCTAATAAGCGAGAGACCTCCAAATGCCCTGGAAATTGAGTTGCCCTGGTCTTGCAAACTAGAGTCTTGCAAACTCAGGTCTTGCAAATTCAGGTTGTTGAGTCCCACCATTGGCAAACTTTGGCCCTCCAGGTGTTTTGGACTTCAACTCTCACAATTCCTAACAGCCGTTAAGGCCAAAGTTTGCCCATGCCTGCCCTGGTATCTATTCCAATCAGACACTAGAGATTATGAGATTTTAAAACACAACAGTTTAATTTGCCAAGCAAAGCCATCAGGTCTTGCAAACTCAGGTCTTGCAAATGCAGGTCTTGCAAACTCAGGTCTTTCACACTCAGGCCATTCACACTCAGGTCTTTCTATCTCAGGACTTTCAATCTCAGGTCTCTCAAACTCAGATATTTCAAACTGTTCAAGCTCAGGTCTTTCACACTCAGACCTTGCAAACCAGAGTCTTTCACACTCAGAGCTTTCACACTTAGGTCTTTTAAATTGGAATCATGCACACTCAGGTCTTGCAAACTGGAGTCATGCACACTCAGGTCTTTCACACTCAGATACGTCAAATTGGAGTCTTGCAAACTCAGGGAAGCCATGGCTCTGTTGAAGGACTCGATCCACTTGGAACACGCTCTTCCTCTTTTCCTGCTGCCCTCTTCTTTGCCCAGCATTCACCTCTTTCAAAGATTAGGATCATGTCAACTCCAAAGTACCACAGCCACCCCTCCATGAATTTGCCCAATTCCATTCTAAAGGAAGGCATCACTCCGCTCTGCAACAGGGAGTTCCACCGTTCAAACTAGGTGCCATTAGTAGTGAGGAATGGCTCAGACAGAGAAATGCTCTTCCCCCGTCACTTATTTATGGGATTCCTTACCTGGTGCCGGTCCAAAGCAATGGCGGCCAGGGTCAGCACGTAGACGTGGACAGAGCAATACTGGCCAAAGCGGCTGATGTGGCACATCAGCTTCCCAAAAACCCAAGAGCTGCTCACAAACCGCACCTGGGAGAGAGGAAACCAGAAAGTGGTGCCACGTGAAAGACAGTTCTTCATTCTGTATGCACTTATTGGGTTTCTATAGCCATCTTTGTTCCAACATGGGCGTATGATCCACACTATAACCATTCAGTAAGTTACTGGTTGAGAGAATGGAGAAAGTTCACTGCAGTGGAAGGTTTGAGGAACGTTTCCGATTTCATTTGATCTTGGAAGATAAGCATCCCTTGAAAACCCATAAGCTGATATATGACTGGGAAGGCACAAGTGCATATAAACATTCTCCACCAAAGCAAGGAAGAGGCATCGAATTCTGCCTGAAGCAGAAAAAGTCAACTGAATTTATATCTGAACTTTATAGGAGCCAGATTGGGGGGAGACTGATATCTCCAGTTCAGAATCTCTTCTGGCTTTGAGTCTGAACTTTCCAAGGGATACATTTGTTGGAGATTGTGATCTCCAACAAAGGCAAGGTCCTCAATCTGCTCTGAATTTCATTTAGAATTTTCCAACGGATACATTTGCTGGAGGCTGAGATCTCTAATGCAAAGCTGCTCTGGCTTTCAATCTGAACTTTCCATGACCTAAATTGGTTGGAGACTGAGATCTCCAATGCAGGTGAGGTCCTAAATCTGCTCTGGCTGTCAGCCTGAACTTCCAAGAGATACATTTACTGGAGAGTGAGATCTCCAATGCAAATCTGCTCTGGATTTCAGTCTGAACTTTTAAAAAGCTATACCACTATATCCAATGCAAGCAGGGTCCTGTATCTCCTCTGGCTTTCAGACTGAACATTCCAAGGGATGCATTTGCTGGAGACTGAGATCTCTTAAAGGCAAATCTCTGGCTTCCAATCTGAACTTTCCAGAACCTAAATTGGTTGGAGACTGAGATCTCCAAGGCAGGAGGGGTCCTAATTCTCCTCTGGCCTTCAGTACACACTTTTCAAGGGATAAATTTGCTGGAGGGTGAGATCTATCCAATGTTAATCTGCTCTGGCTTCCAGTCTGAACTAGAACTTCCCAAGAAGACAATAAATGTGCTGGAGACCAAGATCTCCAGGGCAGGTGGGGTCTTAAATTTCCTTTGGCTTTCAGCCTGAACTTTCCAAGAGATTGAGTTCTCTCCAATGTCATTCCGCTCTATATTCCAGTCTGAATTTTCCAAGGGGTGAAATTAGTGAAGAATGATCTCTCCAGTGCAAAACCCCTCTGGATTTCATCCTGGACTATCCAAGACATACATTTGGTGAAGAATAATCTCTCCAACGCAAATCTCCTCTGGCTTTCAGTCTGAACTTTCCAAGAGATACATTTGTGGAAACCAAGATCTCCACCAACATCTCCTCTGGCTTGTAGTCTGAACTTTCCAAAGGATACATTTGCTGGAGACTTAGATCTCTCCAAGTTAAATCTGCTCTGGACTTCAGTCTGCACTTTCCAGGACCTAAATTGGATGGAGACTGAGATCTCCAATGCAGACTGGGTCTGACTTCTCCCCTGGCTTTCAGCCCACACTTTCCAAGGGATAATTGGGCTGGAGATGGAGATCTCTCCATGGCTTTTAGTCTTAACTTTCCAAGAGACCAATCTGTTGAAGAATGATCTCTCCAGTGTAAATCTGCTCTGGCTTTCAGTCTGAACTTTCCAGACTTGCATTTGCCAGGAGAGTGAGATCTCTCCAATGCAAATTTTCTCTAGCTTTGAGTCTAAGCTTTCCAGGGGATTAATGCCCTGCATTTCCTCTGGCTTTCAGCCTGGGCTTTCCAAGAGAGGGCATCCTTCCGATGCCCACCCGCTCTGCCTTCCAGTCCGAACTTTCCAAGAGAGCAACCTGTTGAAGGATGATCTCTCCAATCCCAATCTCCTCTGGTTTTGAGTCTCCACTTTCCAGGACTTGCATTTGCTGGAGAGTGTGCTCTCTCCAATGCAAATGGATCTTAGTCTGAACCTTCCAAGGGACAAATCTATTGAAGGATGATCTCTCCAACCCAATCTCCTCTGGCTTTGAGTCTCAACTTTGTAGGGGACGAATGTGCTGGAGAGCCCTCTCTCCAAGAGGCCGAGTCCTGCCCGCTGCCCACCCGCTCCACCTTCCAGTCCGAACTTTCCAAGAGAGCAACCTGTTGAAGGATGATCTCTCTAAGACCAATCTCCTCTGGCTTTGAGTCTCAACTTTCCAGGACTTGCATTTGCTGGAGAGTGTGCTCTCTCCAATGCAAATCTGCTCTGGATTTTAGTCTGAATTTTCCAAGAGCTCAACCTGTTGAAGGATGATCTCTCCAAGACCAATCTCCTCTGGTTTTGAGTCTCAACTTTCCAGGGGTTTAAAGTGCTGGAGAGCCCTCTCTGCAAGAGGCTGAGTCCTGCCTGCTGCCCACCCGCTCCGCCCTCCAGTCCGAACTTTTGGGGCGAGGAGCCTGACTCGCTGACTCACCAGGGTGACGGGGGCGTTGAGGAGGGTGAGGGTGATGTCTGCGAGGGCGAGGTTGGCGATGAAGAGCCCGGTGGCGGAGGGTCTCTGGGCGGCGAGGACGTGGCAGACCAGCCCGTTGCCGAAGAGCGCCACGCCGGCCACCAGCGCGTAAGCCACCAGCAGCGCCCCACGCGCGGAAGGGCTCTGCCACTCCGCCTCGTAGCGCCACGAGGAGCCGTTCGCCAGCGCCCCCACCAGGCCCTCCAGGTCGAAGGACGAGGAAGGGGAAGAAGGGGAAGAGGAAGAGGAGGAAGAGCGGTTGCGGGAGCCGTAGTACGCCGAGAATAAGGCGGCCAGGGGCGGCGGAGGGGGGCCCGGCATGGCTCCGGTGGAAGGGAGGGAGGGAGGGAGGGAGGGAGGGAGGGGGCAGCAGGAACAAGGAACACACCCCCCCCACCCCACAAACACACACACCGGGGACCCCCCTCCCCCGGCCCCTCCGCTTCAGCCCCGCAGCCAGGACACCCGCTTCTGCCGCTTCTGTCCAAGAAGGAAGAGAGAAAGAAGGAAGGAAGGAAGGAAGGAAGGAGGGGCTGTCCCTGGTGCTGAACGAGGGAAGGAGGGGAAGAGGGAGGGGAAGCAAGAGAGGAGGGGAGAGGTAGAGAACGGGGGGGGGGAGAGAGAGAGAGAGAGAGAGGGAGAGAGGGGCAGGGCAGGGGGTGGGGTGGCTGGGTGGGTGCCTACGGAAGTTGAGGAAGAGAGGTAGATAGATAGATAGATAGATAGATAGATAGATAGATAGATAGATAGATAGATAGATAGATAGATAGATAGATAGATGAATATGTTATGAAGGCAGATAATAGATACAGCTGATCAATAGATACATGAATATGATGATAAATTAATAGATAGATAGATAGATAGATAGATAGATAGATAGATAGATAGATAGATAGATAGATAGATAGATAGATAGATAGATGGATAGATAGATGATAGAGATGTATAGATAGATATGATTGTTATGAAGGTAGGATAATAGATACAGCTGATCAATAGATACATGAATATGATGACAAATTAATAGATAGATAGATAGATAGATAGATAGATAGATAGATAGATAGATGAATATGATTGTTATGGAGGTAGATGATAGAGCTGATCAATAGACAGACAGACAGACAGACAGACAGACAGACAGACAGACAGACAGATAGATAGATAGATAGATAGATAGGGCTTGTAGATAGATAGATAGATAGATAGATAGATAGATAGATAGATAGATAGATAGATAGATAGATAGATAGATAGGGCTTGTAGATAGATAGATAGATAGATAGATAGATAGATAGATAGATAGATAGATAGATAGATGAATATGATTGTTATGAAGGTAGATGATAGAGCTGATCAATAGATAGATGAATATGATGATAAATTAGATAGATAGATAGATAGATAGATAGATAGATAGATAGATAGATAGGATAGGTAAACAGGGCTGGTAGATAGATGAGATCTAGGGTTGACAGATAGATAGATGAATATTATTGTTATGAAGGCAGATGATAGAGCTGATCAATAGATTAGATAGATAGATAGATAGATAGATAGATAGATAGATAGATAGATAGATGATAGATAGGGCTGGTAGAAGAGAGAGGATAGGGCAGATAGATAGATAGATAGATAGATAGATAGATAGATGAATATGATGAAAGGTAGATGGAAGATAGGCAGCTAGCTAGGTAGATAAGAAATAGGACTGACTGATAGATAAGGTTGATAGATTTATATGATTGGAATGAAGGTGGAGGATAGATAAGGCACATAGTTAGATAAATTAGAGATAGGGCTTATAGATGATAGATAGACGACTGTGATAGATAGATAGACAGACAGATAGGGCTAGCAGATAGATAGAGAGAGAGAGAGGGAGGGAGGGAGGGAGGGAGAGAGCTGGTTGATAGGTAGGCAGGTAAGGCTGGTAGACAAATATGATAGATAAATAGATACATGAATATGATAGTTAAATAGATTGATAGGGCTGACAGACCGACAGATAGATGGCTGAACAAGAGAGGTGATCGATGAATGGATAGATGGATGAATGGACCTATAGATAGACTGATGTATAGTTAGACATTCAGACAGATAGGAAGAGAGGAAGAGAGGTGACAGATCAATAGAGAGATAGACAACAGAAAATGAGAGGTGATGGATGGAGAGATGAAAAGGTAGATCTACAAATAGACTAGGGAATAGTCAGATAGAGAGAGACAGAAAGATGGCAATAGAGAGATAGATAGATAGATAGATAGATAGATAGATAGATAGATAGATAGATAGATAGATAGATGATAGATAGATCGGCAGGAGGATATATGACAACATACAGGTAGGTAGGTAAACAGACAGGCAAATAGAAGCATAGACAAAGAGCAATAGGTGTCTAAAGAGAGTCAGACAGTACACAGGTAGGTAGGTAGGTAGGTAGGTAGGTACTTCTTCTTCTCTTTCTTCTTCTCCTTCATCTCCTCCATCTCCTTCTCCTCCTCCACCTTCTTCTCCCTCTCCTCTTTCTTCTCATTCTCTTTCTCCTTCTTCTCCCTCTCCTCTTTCTTCTTCTTATTCTTCTCCTCCTTCTACTTCTCCATCTTATTCTCCCTCCCCACCTTCTCCTTCTCCTTCTCTTTGTTTTCCTTCTTCTCCTTCTCCTTCATCTCCTCCTTCTCTTTCTCTTTCTTCTTCTCCCTCTCCTTTTCCCTCTTATTCTTCTCCTCCTTCTCCTTCTCTTCCTTCTCCTTCTCTTCCTTCTTCTCCTTCATCTCCTCCATCTCCTTCTCTTTGTCTTCCTTCTCCCTCTCCTCTTTCTTCTTCTTATTCTTCTCCTTCTCCTTCTCCATCTTATTCTCCCTCCCCACCTTTTCCTCCTTCTCCTTCTCTTTGTCTTCCTTCTTCTCCTTCTCCTTCATCTCCTCCTTCTCCTTCTCTTGTCTTCCTTCTTCTCCTTCTCTTTCTCTATCTTCTTCTCCCTCTCCTTTTTCTTCTTATTCTTCTCCTCCTTCTCTTACTTCTCCTCTTCCTTCTTCTCCTTCATCTCCTCCATCTCCTTCTCCTTCTCTTTGTCATAGAATCATAGAATCATAGAATCAAAGAGTTGGAAGAGACCTCATGGGCCATCCAGTCCAACCCCATTCTGCCAAGAAGCAGGAATATTGCATTCAAATCACCCCTGACAAATGGCCATCCAGCCTCTGTCTTCCTTCTCCTTCTTCTCCTCCTTCTCCATCTTCTTCTCCACCTCCTTTTTCTTCTTATTGTTCTCCTACTTGTCCTTCTCTTACTTATCCTTCTCGTCCTTCTTGTCCTTCATTTCCTCTATCTCCTTCTCTTTGTCTTCCTTCTCCTTCTCCATCTCCATCTTCTTCTCCCTCTCCTCTTTCTTCTCCTTCTCCTTCCCTTTCTCCTTCTTCTCCCTCTTCTTCCCCTTCTCCTCCTCCTCCTCCTCCTTCCTCTTCTTCTTCCTCTTCTTTTCTCCCCTTGTTAAGACCTTAGGTACCCAAAGAGGATGGCATAGTTCTCTGCTCTTCTACACTCTTTGGTCTACTTGGCACAAAGGCCCTTTTTTGTAATCGAATGAACCAGGCAGCCTTCTTCCTTTTGCAGCCTCGAGACCGAGAGACCTGATCCGGGTCCCGCTTCTTGCTGGAGTATCTGCCCATGTTGTCTTGTGCCTGAACAGCCTCCAGATATAAATAGATATATCTTTGGAACATTGCAAGGAAATGAATCACAACCCTGCTCGGGGCCAAACTGGAGGTGACACTGCCTTCGGCTCCCCTCGGTGTGTTGTGATGTGTTGTGCTCACATGGTTCCAACTGTGGGAGAGAAGTGACACATAAAGTTATTCTGTTCTATTGCTTTGGGTGCATCTACACTGCAGAACTAATGGAATTCTTTGGCATGACTTGAATTGCTACAGCTCAATGCGATGGAATCGTAGGAGTTGTAGTTTGACAAGGTCTATGAATGGCAAACTACGACTCCCATTGTTGGGCCAGAGCAGTCCACGTGGAGTCAAACTGAGTTCATTCTGCAGTGCAGATGCACCCTCACACATTGCAAGAACTGTTTGCTTCCAGAAGAACATGAATCAAAACCCAGCATGCATTGCAGCCGCAATCAATGTCATTTCAACCGGAGTCTAATACACCCATTACATAATGCATAAGGATGTGGGTGAACTGCAAATTCCAAAATCCTGGACAATCCTCTTCAAACTCCAGCAGTATTCAAAGTTGGCCATGTTGGGTCTATGTGTCAAGTTTGGTCCAGATCTGTTGTCAACTAGATTCAATGCTCTCTCGATGCAGGTGAACTACAACTCCCTGAATGCAATATCAATCACCCCCAAACCCCACCAGTATTCAAAGTTAGCCATGTTGGATCTGTGTGTCAAGTTTGGTCCAGATCTGTCATTGGATGGGTTCAGTGCTCTCTGGATGCAGGTGAACTACAACTTCCCTAAATCAAAGTAAATTCCCCCCATATCCCTCCAGTGTGTTCAGTTGGTCATGGGACTTCTCTGTGTCAAATTTGCTCCTGGTCCATCACCCTTTGAGTTCACAATGCTCTATGGATGCAGGTGAACTACAACTCCACTAAATCAAGGTCAATTCTCCCCATATCCCTCCAGTATGATGAGTTGGTCATGGGGGTTCTCTGTGTCAAGTTTGCTCCCGGTCCATTGGAGGGATTCAGAGCACTCCTTGATTGTAGGTGAACTATAAATCCCAGCAACTGTAGCTCTCAAGTATCAAGGTCAGTAGCCCCCAAACTTCACCAGTATTCAATTTCCGATATGGCAGGTATGTGTGCCAAGTTTGGTCCAGATCGTTGTTTGGATTCACAGTGCTCTCTGGATGTAGGTGAACTACAACTCCCTTAAATCAAGGTCAATTTTCTTCCAAGCCCTCCAGTATTTTCTATTGGTCTTGGGGTTTCTGTGTGACAAACTTGATCCTGATCTGTTATCAGTGGAGGTCGCAGTGGTCTCTGGAAGTGGGAGCCCATAGGAAAGCTGCCACAAACATACTGCACCACCCACATACATACATCCACATCTATATAAATAAAAATGTAATGTTCATTTGTGGGATTAACATAACTCAAAAACCACTGGCCAAATTGACACCAAATTTGGACTTAAAAACCCAAAAAGTGAAATGATGAAAAGCTAAATGAAGATACAGAAAACAGGGAAGAAAGAGAGAGGGAGGGAGGGAAGGAGAGAAAGAGAGAAAGACAGAGAGAAACATGGAAACAAAGAGTGAAGGAAGGAAGGAAAGAGGTAGAGAAGGAAAAAAGGAGAGAAAGAGAGAAGG